AGCCTCCCCAGGTGGGTTGCGTAAGAGATTTACCGATTTTCATCGACTGAGCCCCATCAAGGCACATGGTTCATGTAGAGAACGACTTGCTTATTGAGTGTCTCGATTACTTTTTGAGAGAAGGATATGATTGTCTTTGGTTGACAACATCATACGTCACCAATTCATTTGGGAACAACAACAAAGGAAGGATATCACGATGGAAAAGGAACACGACTTTCATGTCTTGGCATTCAATATTATGTTTTGCTCTTCTTGCTTGGCAGGTCTAGTTAGATATCATGACCGCAATACACTCTGATCAATCCAGGAAATGAATCCGTTCTTGCCGCCCTCAGTCTGAAAGACATCAACGGGATTTCTGTACGGCTCGACCGCTGTCTCGTTGAGCACGTACGTGACGCCGCTGGCAGCCATCTGGGTAGGCGTCCAGCCGGGGCCTCTGTCGTTGTACACCGCCATGAAAGTGTAGTTGTTGGTTCGGGGGTCTGTGGTACCCCAGGGGATGTAGCCTTCAGGTTTGATGCTCGCGTCAAAGTAGGACTCCATGAAGATGGAACGGTGCTGGGCGTTCCAGGGGCGGCCGAGGGGGCAGGCACCCTTGATAACCGGCGCGATGGACGAGTTGGCGGCGATAACTTGAGAGTCGGAGATGTAAACGCCGTACTTGTTCTCGAAAGTCGTGTTGGTTCCTATGAATGTTAGTGGAAGGACTTGAAGTAGGTTTAGGGAAACTTACCCTTCCAGGCAGTGATGCCGCCACCGCAGTTACGGAGCGAAAGGGTCGACTTCTCAATGTACGCGGTGCCGAAGCCGTACAAGAAATCCGTCTGGCCAGCAATGACATTGTCGTAAAAGTAGGCATTGCCTTGCTTGCCGACGTAGAGGGTATCCTGGTAGCTGTACAGGCCGCAGGAGTAGAAGCCCGCGTTGGCCCTGCTGACACCGACGGCGTGCGCAGGGCCGTTGGAGAAGGGGTACTCATCGTTCCTGAAGTCGATGTTGTAGGCGCGGAAGTCCGAGCATCCAAAAGGTGTGTCGTCGGGCACGGGGAAGCCCGTGGGGCCGGAGCCGGTGAGGGTGGCGTTGAGGTTGGGGCCGACGGTCAGGACGCTGGTGTAGGCGTTGTCAGGGAAGGCGACGTTGTGGTTGGCGGCGTTCCACCAGATCTGAACCTCGTTCTTGTTGGAGGCGGTAGTGTTGAGGCTGACGTCGGCGTACAAACGGGACGAGGCGGGCCGGTCCGTCATGCCCAGGAGGGTCAACGGGCCTTGGCGTGTGACATTGAGCTGCTCGGTGTAGTTGCCCGGTGCGATGAGGATGGTGTAGGCGTCCGTGTTGTTGGGAAGGGAGGCGATGGCGGCCTGGATGGTGGTGAAGTTCGCCTTGGAGGAGGACTTGCTGACGAAGATTGTGTTTGGGGGACAACCGTCGAGGGGGTTATCGCAGGTCTTCTTTTGGCAGTCTGCGTATGTCTTGGCTGGGCCGCTGGGGATGCCCGCGGCGGCGGCAATGAATGCCAGGGGCAGGAGGAGGGACAAAGACACGGAGCTCTTCATGGCGAACTGTACTACACACACAATTGGGGACTCGGCCGAGCTGGAGAAGGAGGGTGAGGTGTCATCCAAGAGGTACATGCAAACAATAAGACCCAGAGATTTGGACGTTATATAGCTTCCGGCAGGCTTCGTCTGGCCCCTTTCTCGATATTAACCGGCTCGACTCATTGCTGCTCAAGCTTTTCCGGTTGCCCTTGTCCGAATGGCGTCCATCAGAGTAGCAGTTGCAATGGCACACACCCGACAAATTGGCAAAAATGCAGATCAACAAGGATCAGGTCGACGCGGGGTAGACGGAGATATTACCCCAGAGTGCGTGGCATTTGGGGGAGAGGACATGGGACTGACATGTGGTGTTGTCAACACGGCAGCCGGCACATGGCAGAAGAATGAGGAGGTTGAGGTAGACTGCATCCCCCCAATGACACCTCGCTACCCCAACTTTTGGCGGCTCTGCAGGGCCTGCAGCTGCAGATGGGACAGAATTTCAGCGACGGTTTGGAGATGTTCCACGAACCACGTCGCAAGCCGAAGACCGGCCCCCGGCGAACGGTCGACGGGTCATGACGCTAACGACGAACTCTGGATGCGGGGAAGAAGCTTGTAACAACCTGGAGTCTGGAGTAGTGGTGCACCGCCTGGCACTCTAAGCCCGGAAAGTCTGGAGACTCAGATAGTGTCCGTACAGACGAGATTCCATCAACTGGCGACAGCCTACAGGAACAGCAGATGACGACGGACAGAATTAAGCACACATACCAAGCCTTCGGAAACGCGGCAAGCCATCAAGCCAACCGGCTTGGCTCTCTGGGCGGCGGCGCCCCCACATGGCGGTTGGCTTCGTGGGGAAATCCCAGCGCTCAATTACCTCCTGCGTTGGCCCTTAATTAGCGCTAGCCCGCACTGTAATTGATGACCAGTAACATCAGCGAAGACGCCCGTCGCCGAGCAAATTTGCGGACACCGCTGCCGGGGGTTTTACAGTGGTCTATGCAGTATCCATGGAAGGGAAATCCACTTCATCCCAACTTCGCCGGCGCTCCAAACTCTTCTTGAACTTCAAGAAACACCCGTCCAAAGTTTCCCCCTGACGCCCACGCCGGGTCTCCATGTCTTCCACCACTTCACCGAGTCGCCCTCCGTCCGCCTCCAGTCCACTTTCATCAGCGCTCTGCCCAGATCTGGCAGTGTCCGGAGGGGGCGGAAATCACCGCACCAATCACCACAGGCGTGTTCCTGGCACCGCCAAACGAACCACAAAAGCTTGTTGGTTGTTCTGCTCCACCAACACAAGATGGGACGAATCGTTTGATTCGTTTCCCCCCGTCCTCGTCATGAAGTCCTCGTGGTCTCGTCCTATCTCGTCCTTAAGTCCCCGTTGCGCTCTTTCGTCCCCTTCGTATGGACGGAAAAATCAGACCCCATGCCATGTGCTGCCCCTGCTACCTTAGGCCCTTTCTAGTGCACTGCGTCAGCTACAGTAGCCCTCCCCCTATCTCGTGTCATTGAAGGTGGACTCGCCGCGATGACCTTGCCGTGCCGAGAAACGTGAGCCTCCCATTTGAGAAAACCGGCATCTGATATAAGTACTGCTTCCTCGATTCTCAATTGGAGGCATTTGGAGAATCCCAGAGTGTCGACCAACCTCGCATCCCTTGGCAGAAAAGAAAAACTTGGCACATCGCGCGCTTCGCTTAACGGATAATCATCACCATGGTCGCTCCCACACTCCTCGGTGGCCTCGTCGCCGCCGCCGCGCTGGTTCCCCTCACCCAGGCCGCGCGCCCAGACATCAAGGCCGCGCCGTTCCATCCCGGCCGCGCCTTCCCGTCCTCGGCTCCGAGGACCAAGACCTGCGCCGTCAAGCCTCTTGGCAACGGCACCGACGACAGCGGCAACATCCTCAAGGCCTTCAAGGATTGCAACAACGGCGGCACCGTCGTTCTGGACCAGACTTACAACATCTGCAACCCCCTGGATCTTACCTTCCTGAACGCCGTCGATGTCGCTCTGACGGGCACCGTCGGTTTCTGCGACGACATCGAGCACTGGCTGCCGCGTACTTTCAAGTACAACTTCCAAGGCTCATCGGCCATGTGGGTGTTTGGCGGCAAGGATGTTCACATCTACGGCAACGGCGTTGGTACCCTCCAAGGAAACGGCCAGAAGTGGTACGACCGATTCGCGTCAAACGCCACTCTCGAGAGACCCATCATGTTCGTCACGGATGGCCTGAACGGCGGTTCTTTCACCGGCATTAACATGGTCAACTCCCCCATGGTGAGTCTCACCCATTCAAACCCCAATGTGAAGACCTGATACTAACGCGCAGCAGTGGTTCAACCTCATCGCCAACAGCACGGACTTCCTCATCTCAGACATTGACATCAAGGTCGGCTCGACCTCGTCCAACCCCGCCAAGAACACGGACGGCTGGGACACCTACCGCTCTGACGGCATCGTCATCCAGAACTCCAACATCAACAACGGCGACGACTGCGTCTCCTTCAAGCCCAACTCCACCAACATCGTCATCCAGGGCCTCGTCTGCAACGGCTCCCACGGCATCTCCGTCGGTTCCCTCGGCCAGTACGTCGGCACCTACGACATCGTCGAGAACCTCTACGTCTACAACACCACCATGTCCAACGCGTCCGACGGCGCCCGCATCAAGGTCTGGCCCGGCATCGACACCCCCTTCCAGCCCTCCCTCTCCGGCGGTGGCGGCTCCGGATACGTCAAGAACGTCACCTACGACACCTTCCACCACTCCAACAACGACAACGCCATCACCATTGACCAGTGCTACGGCCAGAAGAACCAGACGCTCTGCAACCAGTACCCCGTATGTCTTCCTCGCCTTGGAAAATTGCCATCTTGAAACCCCCAGCTAATGCGCATCGCAGTCCAACATGACCATCAGCGACATCTACTTCAAGAACATGGACGGCACCGCCTCCAGCAAGTACGACCCCCGCGTCGGCACCCTCGTCTGCAGCAGCAAGGACAAGTGCCTCAACATCAACGCCGAGAGCATCGACGTCAAGACCCCCAGCGGCAAGACTGCCCAGTGGCTGTGCACCAACCTGGACACCGGTCTGCTCGACATCAACTGCGTCACCGCCGTCACCAAGTCCTAAGGGACCGGCAAAGTGCGCAGAAGAAATTTACGTTTATAATCATGTACATTTTGTGCTACAGCGCGTTCTGACGACCCCGTGGGCGGTCCTGTTTAGGATGCGGCGTTTTGCCCCGGCCTTCGTATACCTTCATCGTTACATATTAGACTTCTTTAGATGTAAATCAGAGCATACAGCAAAACAGCTCACTTTTCATACTTTTCACTGAAAATGCGCGTGAAGTATTCTTGTGCCGACTCGTGTGTTTCTCAGAAGACTTCTTTCCGTAACGCCTTCTCATGTCTATTGCTCTCGTCCTCGTCTAATGCAATGGAGAGCAAACGTCGCAGCTGAGAACACCCAGAAAGTTCAGGACGACTTCTGCCTCGATCATCTTGCTACACCCTTTTCAAAGGCTTGTCCAGTTTCCAGACCGCCATATCCCGCTTTTCCTCGAAGCGCCACACCTTGACGCTCTTCTCGCTGATGGTTGCGAATTTACCGCCGCACTTTTCTGCTACCCTCATACTTCCAACATTTTTGGGATCTACTTGGGCAATGAGATGCGTTATCTCAATGTCATCGCCATCGCCATCCTTGGCTTCATTTGAAACATGTCTCAGCTGAGCTCTATCATCTACAATCTTTCCAGTCAATGATTTGTCGAAAGACACTGCATTTACCGCCGGGATTTGAGAGACGTAAACATCACTCTTCGGCGCCGTTCGCCTTTGGCTCCAATACTGGTCTAAGAACAGTTGCAAGGCACGGGTCGCGTACCCTTTCCCCCAGCAATCAGAACGGATCTTGTAGCCGACGGACAAGCCCCACGGTGAAGCACGCGTCGTTCTTACACAGCCAATCATCTTGGCACAGCAACCTCCTTTGGTGTCTGGAGCTGGATACTTTGAGGACATGATGGCGCAGGTCACAAGCCATGGGGCCTGACAAGTCGATGTGAATGTATTTTCCATCAGCTTTTTGGAGCTTTCAAGACTCTCGGTGTGGCGGAGCGAACTAAGTCAACGTGTAAGCCACACTATGACTGCGAGCAAATGCAAATAGTGTCCGGTTTACCTCCATTCACATGCCTTCTCATCTGCGCACATCTCATGGAAGTCGTTGAGGTGCGTCTTCATTATGAGGGGTTCCAGCCAGAGATCTGGGCCGGCAGAGGGCGGGGATGACTGCATGGTATGCATGTTATAAACTTGGGCCAAAACTCCGACGACGGATGAGGGTAGGTGAACAAGATGGTAGCGATGACAATGGTAAAGCAGGTATAAGAGAGCCTGTAGAAAACTTAATAGCTCTAGCAAAGGAAAGATAGGAGGTCTCATCTATATTTGAGGTTGAGTCACAGCCAGGGTCGAAAGTCCCCCAGTGGCGCAGATCGAATAGCCATCTAATGGCTGACATGTTATCATGATTAACGCTGACGGTCCTCCAGTGACTTTTGTCTGCCTCCGAGCGCCCTTCAAGTTTAAGAAGTTATTGAAACGTAGCCCGAAAATATCACTGTAAAGCGCCACATGTTATCTCAGTTTTGTCGGAATATTTTGAAGATCGTAAAGGTTTATCGATACATTCCTCAAGGATAGCAGCTGAATGTCAACGTCCTTAACCCCTGCAGCACCCCCGACCCACACCCCTGCATGGGGAAGGTTCAGCTGCAGCCCGATAAGATAACACTTTTTTCCCACCTCCAAACTTTCATACTGACTTCAGTCACAACGCGACGACGCCATTGCCGAGACACATTGCCATTGCAAAGGCGCCATGACCCGCGATGTCGGCCGCAGCTTCTAAGTCGAAACCTCTCAAGTCCGCCTTCGCAAACAAACGAAAACAGGGTCCACCAGGCGACAATGGCGGCAACGGTGGAGGTGGTGGCGGCGGTGGATGGGCTGCGAAGCGCGTCAAGATACGCCAGGACAGGGAAATCGTAGCCCAACAGTCGGAAGCGGCCCTTAAAGATGGAGAGCTGGATTTGCAGGCATTCCTAAACGCGCGCGAGTTCGAGATTAAGGCCCTCGAGGAGAGCATGCGGCACACGAAGGGCGAGGCTACGAGCCGCGCATTCCAGCAGGTTCCCCGCGGCATGCGACGGCGGACGGCGAGTCACAACGCGAAGAGGGTCCCGAAGAGGCTGCGTAGGAGGGCGCTGAAGGAGATGGCGGAGGACAATACCCCTGTGGTCATTTCGCGACGGCGGAAACCCAAGACGACGAGGGCGAGGATCCGTGCAGAGACGGCGAAGAGGCTCGGTTTCCTGGCAGAGAAGAAGAGGAGGCGGCAGATGAAGGCTGCCAAGGCGAAAGCACAGGACGGGGAGGCTGCGGGGGCGCCGAAAGTCACAGTCACGACGAGAGCGCCGAGGCCAAAGATCCGACGGAACGAGCTCAATGAGCCCCCGAAGCGCAAGTCGAAGTTCAGGAAGCGCCAGATCAACAAGACCTGGCTGCCGACGCACCTGTGGCACGCGAAGCGGTCGAGAATGACGGAGCCGAAGAACCCTCTCTGGAGATTCGCCATACCCCTGACGCCGAACGAGAAGATATACCGAGCGACGCATCGTGCGCAAGGAGAGAAGGGCGTCGTTGCGTGGGATACGAGCTACACAAGCACGATTGGTCTTTACGGTTCCGCCAAGAGCGTGGAGCAAGTCTTGCGCAAGATTGGTGTCGCGCAGGAGAGTTGCTGGAACGATAGGGGAGCCATGTGGAGGACTGGCACACGACACTGGACGGGATTCTTGAGCAAGGAGACGAGGCACGAGAGACGGGATATCTGCCCTGCCACGATCATCTGGAACCCCGAGGCCGTATCAAATCCTTCGGCGGCAGAAGGCGAAGCGCAGCCGAGCAAGACCCAAAGACAGGTCTTGCTGAGGGTCCATCCCTCTGCGTTCCTCGAAGTCTTTACTGAGCTTCTTCGGCTCGTGAAGATGCATACCCCGAGACCATACATTGAGGACCTGAGATTTGAGATTGGAAGTATTGAGCTTACCGGCCCGGCGTCAACAGAGACGCTCCTTGGTATCCTCCACCCATACCACACGAAGGAACAGTCTAAGGAGAAGCATGCGGAAATGTTTGATAGCCTCACCAGTGTGATGAGCCCAGCAACACTCCCTGCAAACGCCACGCTTGGGTTTTCCGTCTTGGATCCTCGTCTTCGATACCCCCCGAAGAGAGTCAGTCAGCCTGACCCGGATGATACCGTGGCGCAAAGCAAGTCTCTGGATTTGCTAGCAAAGTGGCCATCGGATGTGGGCCTGAAGCCTTACGGTCTCTTTCACAGAGACTCCCGTGCCTCGGCAACTAACCTGCCTTCCCAAAAGTCAGTAGACCGACGCAAAGGAGCAAGACGCCCAGGGACCGTTCTTGAAGTCTCTGACGTCGACCCCCCTATCCCTGTTCTTCTGTTGGCTTCATGTGCAGGCACAGGCAACCAAGTACAAGGCAACTGGACGCTCCTCGCCCCGTGGAGATGCATCCAGCCCATCTGGCACAGCCTCGTCCATTTCCCGCTGTCTTCCGGCGGGAACCCGCGCTTCTCTGGCTTGAATGAGATCAGGCAAGTAGCATTCGAGCGGAACCTACCGTGCTTCCCTTTCGACCACCTCGGCACCAACGCCGGCGCGGAGTGGGAGCTCGAGGAGCGTGCCAAGCGGAAGCGTGATTGGGAGCGACGGCCAAAGAGCAAGCGAGTCGCGTGGGATTCGCTGGACCTCGGAGCTGGACGAAAGGGGGAGGTTGGTGATGGCTTTGCCTGCGACCTCGAATATCTGTTCAAAGAAAGCAAACCTGAAGCGCAAGCTGCGCCATCTTCGGACGCGATGGACGTGGACGAAGCTTCTCCTGAGAAGCAGGCACCCGGAAATGCAGCCAAGGAGAAATCGCTGCAGGCGCTTATCCGAATTCGAAAGGAGGCCTTCAGAGCATGCACAACACTGCCAAACCCTGCATCACTTCCCCCACGCTCCATCATCAACGTCAACATCTCAATGCTCAGCCGGGGCGTCGCCACCGCCTGTGCCAGAGTCTACCGCCTTCCATCTCGTCCTCAACCCGCCCTGCCAGCCTCATCAGTGGAGGTCCCGGCAACCGTCCCTCCCCCGCCAAAGTCCATCAACGGCCTGCCGGCGGATCTGCGCAGCCAATGGCTCGCAACCCTCCCCACCACGCAGGCGAAGCCACCATCGAGTCAACAGCAGCGTCTGCCTCGGAACGCAGACCTGCAGACCCGCAAGAAGCTCCTCGCCCAGACGCTGGTGAGCGCCCCGCCCCCGGACGGCACGCAGCAGAAGCCGAATCAGACGGACATGAACGGGCACCCGCTGGTGCCGAACGAGGACGACCTCATCGGCTTCGTCACGACGGGCGCGTACTCCCTTAGTGAGGGCAGAGCGACAGCCATGGGATGTCTCTCGGCCGACAGAGCCGCAGAGGCTCTGAGGAAGGGGGGGTAAGAGGGAAGGCGTTCTGTGCATCGTGCGAAATGCGGGGGAGAGCGTCGGATGGATTGCGCGGTGGGATGTACTGTGAGAGAACCCCGGCATCGTGGGTCACACATTGGGAGATTTTGTGTCTGGAACCTGCATCTGCGCGTGCAGCAGGATCAGCGCTTCCCGCTGCAACTGTGAGGCGTGACGCAGAGGCGCGTGGGAGCTGCAGCGTCGCTACGTACAGAAATCGCAAGGGCGCGATTGACCAGAGGAAAGGCGGGTAGTAGATGTAGACTAAGGGATGTATACCCAATCAATATCCCGATAACAAACTTCAACCATCATCACGATCAGCAATTTAAATGTTCAACTGCAAAGCCAACATAATGACACTAGAATTCCCCAAGCCAACCTCCATCACCGGCGGATGCCTCTGCGGCTCAATCCGCTACCGCGTCAACTTCCCTCCCACACACGACTTCATCTCGGCCGTAAGTTCTCTCTCCATTATCCAAAGAATGTAGAATCTACAACCATGCCTAACCCGTTCAACAGTGCCAGACATGCCAATGTACCCAATGCCGCCGAAGCACAGGGTCCCTCTTCCTCCCGATCCACATGGTGCCCAAGTCCGCCTTCACCTTCCTCACGACGCCCACAACCCCAACGCTGAAATCGTTCCGCGCCACGCCCGGGGCAGAGCGCTGTTTCTGCGGCGACTGCGGATCGTTCGTCTTCTGGCGGTCTGATGCCTTGGACACGATCGACCTGGCGGTCGGGTGCTTTGACCCCGAGTATCTGTTCGGCGAGGACCAGCGGGTCTCAGATAACACGGCCCGTGAAGCCGGCAGACAGGGGAAGAGGAATGAAGGCTTCGGGAGGGCGTTGACTGGGGCGGTGACGCACATGTGGTGCGCCAACGAGATTGCGGGCGTCACTGACAACATGCTGCGAGGCAAGAAGATGGAGCGGGACTCGAAGCACGGGGTGGTTCTGTACGAAGACTGAGTGCGAGATTGAAAAAAGATCAACAGTTAATTGTTTTGTAGACAAGAATACTAATCTGTCTGAACAAACGCTGGTGGTATACTGCTTTGCGTGGGCAATGGGCTTTAGACAAGAGGCCGCCCCGAGATAAAAATAAACAAAAATCCTTTTTGTACCATGAAACGCCGTCATCATATCCCAGTCGGAGATTTACCGCTCCAGGTGTTGGTGATCCGCCACAAGATTCGTACGGGCTCTATCAGAATGTGATATCCCAGGTAATCACCTCAGTCTTCCTCACTAACCTCGCTCTCCTCTGCGTCGCCGCTGTTCGCAGCCTCCAGCTCCTTCTCCAACTCGGCTTCGAGATCGTCTTCAAGCGCGTCCTCGAAATCCGGCTCCGAGTCCATCTCCATTTGGTCGTGCTCAACCTCGACCTCCTCATGATGATGCTGCTGCTGCTGCTGCCGCACCTGGTTGTTGACGGGACTGGGCAGGTTGAAGTCGGGGAACGGCACCTCGTCATTGTCCGACTCGCCGTCCGCATCGTCCGCCTCCGAGTCGCGCAGGAAGTCGGAGAAACGCCTAATGTTGATACCCTGCGACGGGAACGCGGGCGAGAAGTCTGTCTTTTTGTTCTTGTTCTCATCGGGGTACTCTATCGTCAGACCGAAGTCGTCGTCATCGTCGTCGTCTTCCTCGTCGGATCCCATGGCCTTGCGCGCAGGCTTCTCCTTCTTCGGCGTCGGCACAGCAGCGGGTTTCGGCGGCGGGGCCGGTGGCGCGTCGTTTGTCGGGAGCGCGAGCTGGATGCTGACGGGTTCTTTCTTCTTCTGCTGCCGGGGTTTCGCGGGTGCTTTTGGTTTCGCCGCAGCTGCGGCCTTGGTCTTTGGCTTCGCCTGGGGCTTATCTTGGGTGGCAGAGGACGAGGCGTGGGGCTTGGCTGGTGTCGCGGTGATGGACGTGTCGAGCTGCTCGAACTGCTGGCGCAAGGTCTCCGGGTTGTCGTTTGAGGGCGTACGGGTAAGATTCATGTGGAAGGTAGAATCGACCTTATCGAGGATGAATGCCTTGCGGGCTGGATCGAAGTAGAGAATGTATTGGTTGTCGTCCATTGTGCGAGTGCCAGCGTAGGCGTATGTTCCGCCATCGGCACCGGGAAAGGAGAGGTCAAAGTTGGATTTGGAGCCAGGCGTCTCGGGTTTTAGCCTTGCTGTTGCGGGCTCGGAGGGGAGATCAGGCTTGTGATTATCTGTGTTGAAAAGGCTGTATCAGTATTCGTTCTGTGATCGCGAGACCAAGTCAGGCCGATTGGAGAGCTGGGAGGGCTACGTACATCGTACGGCGGTAAAGACATCCTTCTGGGTGCGCCCGAGGAGCGTGTCGCTTAGGATGACAGGGTATTTGCCCGTCTTGGTCGGGTCGATGAGGCCATTCAAGGCGCCGCCCTTAGGGGCAGCCTTTTCCCTGTGGTTAGGGCGAAGAGCCGACATATTGTATGCGTCTAGCGTCTGTCGCAGGAGAAATCGCGGTCGTGAGGTGATGGGAGAGTTCGGGAGGAAGACGGAGGGCTGTCGATCGTATTGGAGAGTGGGGAGATGGGTCCTTGTAAGATACGGCGTACGCAGTGGAAGCGGGCTAGGGGGGTCCCTTCCTTCCGCTAAAGTCGCCTGCGAAGTTTAGAATGTTCCGTACGACGCTGCGGGCGGAATGGCCGAGACCGCTGGTGAGTTGCACCGCTAAGGCAGGTCGACTAGGATCTTGGCGGGAGAAAATGTGGTGGGCAATCAAGGCGGATAAATGATTCAAAATGGGATTTCTGGTATTGTTTTCGAGGTTGGAGAGAGATGAAGCACTCTGATGGCCGAGGAGGGTTGGGTACAGGCAGATGCGTTCACCGAATCACTGCCTCTCTTGTGCCTCATTTCGCCGCGCCTGTGCGTGTGAGACAAGCTGACGCTTGTGTGTCTTAATCAGCAACGACAACAATAATAATAACCTTTGGGGGTGTCTGAGCCTCCCGTCACTCTCATCTCATGGTAAAGTGCGCTTACGCCATTCGGCCAGTTGAGTTTGAACAGTCGGTCCATCAAGGTTGTGCTGTCAGGGTCTTTGCATCCTTACTTGGTAAGTATTGTAACAACTTCGTATTTGAAGACAAGCCTTTTGTACAGATACTGCAGTATAAGGTAGGTAGGTATGGTGATGAAAAGCTGGTTCTCAAGGAACATCCATTCTCCGTCGCGCAAAACAGACTGAAGAGGGAGACCAGCAAACAAAGACAATTCACGGTTGGCACTCTGATGCCAGGAAAGCTATTTTGCTTGGATATTTGGTTCTCTTACCGTCTCGTTGACAACAGATGCCCATCGTGAGCTGGCCTGTACATGATGGAAACACGGTCTCGTGAGGCATCTCGCTGTTTACAGGCCCAAACTGTCCAATTGCGTGCCAAAATCTTACAAAGTAACCTTCAGCCCATTAATTGACCGTGAAATGACTTACTCTGGGGTGAGTGAGTGTCTCTAAGTACTACCTCATCTTAAAACGGGACTGTTGCAACGGCGCGATCTCTGTGAGCTGAAGCAATGGCCCCAGATGGGCGATAAGATCAAGTTTATCGTTGCCTTATCAGTTGCCCGCCGCTAGCCGAGGAGCCCGCCGGGTTTTACTCGGACGGAAGCTCCTCAGCAGCTCGTGCGGTACAGCCAGGGGTCTCAGCAGAACATGCCTCCCCACATTCCTCCCCCAACGTCGCCCACTGGTGCCCAGATTACCGTCAAAGCTCCCCCGCCCGCGGCCCCAGGCAAGGGAGGAGAAGCACCCACGGGTGTCCATCGCAGTGCAGTGAAGCCCGCAGCGAGCTCCCCTCTGTTGTCATCATGGCAGGCCAGGGGTAAGCGCACACAACCTCGGATCAAGCTGCCACACAAGCTTCGGCAGAGAGCGGCAAACCGTTTCCCCTTCCACCTGAGCGAGACTGGACCTGCCCAGAGACCACCCAGAAACAGCTCTCTGCCTTGAGAAAATATATCTCCAATTCCTCTCCCCGGAAAAAGCTTCTCCTCCCACTTTGACCCCTTCTTCCCCTCAGCCTTGAGTGACCTCCGTTGAGAGAAAGAGAGCGAGAGACAACCTTGAGATTGGCACAAAACAAAGATACCCCTCCTCTCACAGTGGTATCTTGACCTTCTTTCATCTCACCTCCCAATCACAATCAATTGACCTGCATAATCTCCTCCCAGCTTGCGGTCATGTCTGCTGCGCTCAACCGAGGTCTCAGGACAGCTTCCCGATCGTTGCGTCTCCAATCGCGAAGCGTCCGTCTGGCTACTCCTCTCCGCGCCGGCGTCGCCTCCACTAACTTTGCCGCTTTTCCCACGACTCGCTCCGCTTCTCAACACTCCTCCAACTTTTCAACCGCATCTGCCAGACAGAGCGCTGCACCAGCCATGGCCGAGTCACGAGAGTACGACCCCGAGATCAAGGACATTGCTTCTTATGTCCAAAACTACAAAGTCGACTCCGACCTTGCTGTAAGTATTCCTCGATGCTCTTCTCAAAGCTCCCTGCCCGCCGACCCGCTCTACTGTTCTTACCCCGCGTCTCAACCGGATCGCCGCCGCTAACCGCCACTCTCGTGAAAACAGTTCGACACAGCACGATGGGTTTTCCTCGACACTCTGGGCTGCGGTCTTGAGGGCCTGCGCTTCAAGGAGTGCGCCAAGTTGCTGGGACCTATCGTCCCTGGCACCGTCGTCCCCAATGGCCCCAAGGTCCCTGGAACAGACTTCCAGCTCGACCCCGTCAACGCTGCTTTCAACATTGGTGCCATGATCCGCTGGCTCGACTACAACGACTGCTGGCTTGCTGCTGAATGGGGTCACCCCTCAGACAATTTGGGTGCCATCCTCGCCGTTGCCGATTGGATCACCCGTACCAACAAGGCTGGTGGTAACATTGCTGGCGGCAAGCAGTTCACCATCCGTGATGTTCTCGAGGGCATGATCAAGGCCCACGAGATTCAAGGCTGCCTG